AGCAGAAAAATACAAGTGGATATTAGCTGGTATTCATCTCTCTGATGGCCCAGTTAGGGATGCCACAACTCGAGAACGAGATGAGGATTAGGGCCTTGAATTTCATTGGAGTAAGTGGCAAAATGAAAACTGCTTTTAAAAACATTCCATTCATTTGTCAAGTCAGTGTTTGGTTTTGGTTTTGGTTTTTGTGCTGGGGTTTCAACCCAGGGCCTCCTGCATGCTAAGCTCACTCTGTACCACGGAGCTATATACCAGCAGCCCCAACTCAGTATATTACAAGTTACTTTTACCATTTCCAAGTTGTTAACAGGTGATTAATTTAAATCACAATGAAGGAATTATTGAGATTGCATTTACCTAACAGATGTATTTTGCCTAACAGAATTAGAGAATATAAATGAAAGTCAAAAGGAGTTTCAAACCAGTTGTCTAAAATATTTGTAAAATGATAGTGTGATTTGGTAGTAGTAAAACCAAAAGTCTACAGGTTATAAAAAGGATGAAAATGTTGCCTGGAGTACCAAACAACAACAAAAAAAAAGAATGAGCAGTATGTTGTGTTCCAATTGGATACAGACAGTGAATGAAATGCAAGACAGTTAAAAATGACTTTTTCAATCATGTTAGAGCATACCTGAAGAAATATGTCAGCATATTTAAAATTCTGTGGTGTAAAGGAAAACAGATACAGACAGAGTTGAAAAAGGAAATATTTTGAAAGCAGTAAAAGCTGAGGGGGTGATAATTTGCCATCATGTCAGGAGGCATCAGTTGGGGTAATCATTCAGTGCAGATGAAAGGTGAGGGAATAGTACTATGCAATGAAGAATTTGATCTTGCCAAAGATAGATCTGGCCTTTGCTCTCTGCCTCTGGTAGGCAATCTACATCATACCTGAGAGGAGTATCTTTATTTAGGGTGGGGGGCAGCCCCCAAGAATCTGAGGGTGGGACCAGCCATGCCAAAAAATAAATAAAACTCACAATTCAGGGTGGGAGTTTTGGGTCACACAGTGTCAGTCCACCTAGCACCTGAGATCAACTACCCCTGTGATCTAGTCAGTTATACCTGTGTGATGGATGCTTCTCTTGTGGGTGATTTTAACCTGTGCTTTCACTATGATAAACCACACTGTGCAAGTAATAACTTTCATTGAATTCTGCTAAGTTTTTCTAGTGAAAAAAAAATTTTTTGTACTTGAGATTTAACCCAGGAGTGCTTTGCCACTGGGCTATATCCCCAGCCCTTTTCATTTTTTATTTTAGTGACTTAGTTGCTAAATTGCTGAGTTGCTTAAGGCTTAATTGCTAAATTGCTGAGATTGATCTAGAACTTAGATTCTCTTGCCTTAGCTTCCTGAGCTGTTTTGATTACAGGGATGTCCTATTGTGCCCCACTCTCTAACCTGAGGGTGGTTTTGCAATCACCTGCAAACTTATAGTTTGTGTCAGAAGTGAGGACAGTGTTTGATTTAGATGTGGTGTTCCCTAAAAGCTCACGTGAGACAATGCAAAAAGCTTCAGAAGAGAAATGATTGGGTTATGAGAGTCTTAACCCAATCAGTGAATTAATCACCTGATAGGGATTAACTGAGTGAAAATTTAAATTGAGGGTGGGACTGAAGGATGTGAGAATTGGGATGTGGTTTGAGGGTATGTATTTCTATCTCTCTGTGCTTCCTGATCATGATGTAAGCTGCTTCCCTCTGCCACACTCACCCACCATGATATTCAGCCTCACCTCTAGCCTTGAGGAATAGAGCCAGCCTTCTATGGACTAAGGCCTCTGAAACCGTGATCCCCCAAATAAACTTTTCCTCTACAGTTGTTCTGGTTAGGACCTTTTAGTCATAGCAGTGAAAAAGCTGACTAAAACAGACAGCCTTGTAGGGGGCTGTGTCCTCTCAACTTTTGTAGTTTGCCAATTCCAAGTAACTGACTTGAGGCTGAGGGTCATAGCCATTGACAAGTTCAACTGCCTAAACTGGGTATGGTGGCACACACCTGTAATCCCAGCAACTGGGGAGGCTAAGCAGGAGGATTGCTAGTTTGAGGCCAGCTTGGACAATGTGGTGAGGCCCTAAGCAACTTAGCAAAATCCTGTCTCAAAAAACTAAAAAAGGGCTGGAGCTGGAGCCCAGTGATGGAATGTCTCTGGACTCAATCCCTAGTACTGCAACAGTATCTCAAAACTTGTTGCCATCATTATAATTTTAGCAGTAATGAAGTGGTTTTTTTGTCATTAATTACCTCCTTGTCCTTTAAAATCTGTTAGTTGATACAATATATACTATGAACATTATCATATTCATCCTTAAGATAGGGACTCTAGGGTATATTGATAGTGCAGTCATTTCTTACCTCAAATTCTGTTGTATCATTCAGAAGTTGCTTGAACACTTAGGCAACTAAGAAGTAGATCAAATCTGCTTTCTGAATTGTGGGTTTTTGTTTTTTCTTTGCCTGTTTTCATTCCAACCCAGGTATGGTAGTGCAAGGCTATAATCCCAGCTACTTGGGAGGCTGGGGCAGTTTTGGTATTTCATAAAATTGAACAGTTACAGACTTTTTTTTTTTCTTTAAAAAGTCTGGTGAGTTATATTGTTAAGAAGATTCCATGGTTACTTCCTAAGTGGGCTTAACAACCTTAGCCTTAGTTACTGACTGGGCCCTCAGATTTTTTATTGTTTCTTAATAAAATTTTAAATCTTACTCTGAAGTTTTCTTTGGTCCTTTTGGCTTCTAGTATGGATATAGTTTCTAGCCCCAGTTATTTTTGCTTCATTTCTGACTGATCTCTAGGTTGCCTGTCCAGTCCAAGTTTACTCAGTTTATCTGAAGGGCAAAAATAGGGCCTGAAGAAGGGCTGGAGTATGTTGGTTTCCTTACAATTGCAAATATGTTCTTTTTAAATTATGGCCATTTCTATGAAACTATCAACTTCAAGAAATAAGTAAAATTCTGAGAAACTCCAAAGAGGAAAAGAAAAAAATTTTCCCCTTAGGAGCTGAAGTTTGTTGAAAGACCTAAGCAATTTATACATACTTAAAGTTATTTTTTAAAAGAATGAATATAATTGAGGGTGTAATTCAGCAGTTGTGTGATTGTCCAGCATGTGTGAGGCCCTGAGTTTGATGCCAGTACTACATTAAAGGAAAAAAAACCATAAATATAATTGTATGGTAATTTAAATTTTGATATTCCCTTTACCAGTGAAATGGGGGTGCCCTCTTAATGTGTTAGGAAATAACACATTCTTTCTTTGCTTAATATTATGATGATATCTAATATTATGAATCATTAGCAAGTTCAGGTAAATTGATTACATTTAAAAATCAGATTTCTGGGGCTGAGGATGTGGCTTAGTTGGTAGAGTGCTTGCCTTGCATGCACAAGGCCCTGGGTTCAATCCCCAGGCCTCACACGCACACACACACACACAAAAAAAAAAAATCAGATTTCTATTTGTAGTTGATATTCCACTGACAAGAGATTTTGTATACTTTTTTTTATTAAAAGAAATATTCATTCTCTTTTTCACTGATTAACAATGCTGGAGAAAGAAACATCTTTTAAGCCATTGGACAGTCTATTTTAACACCTGAGAAAAGAGTAGTATTTTATTAATCTTGTAATAGGATGTTCTCTTATCCTTTATGCTTATTGACTATCTTTCAGGATTAAGATGAAGGGCCTGAAGATTAAGATCATTAGAGACTTGAATTACAGTATTCTATATTTAAGAATCTGAGTGTAGCTTGGTGTGGTGTGGTACACACCTGTAATCCCAGTGGCTTGGGAGGCTGAGGCAGGAGGATCACCAGTTCAAAGCCAGCCTCAGCAACTTAGGCCCTGAGCAACTCAGTGAGACCTGTGTCTAAATAAATCACAAAAAGGGCTGAGGATGTGGTTCAGTGGTTCAATCCCTGATACCAAAAAATAAACTAAATTTGAAAAATTTAGTGTTTAGAAGTAGGGATAAATCTGGTTTGACATTTAGACAGAGCTGAAATACCTAGAAATAGTATTTCCACCTGGGAAAAACAACGGTTTTGTTGTTTTTCTTTGGTCCTTTTGTTTAATGTGTGTGTGTGTGTGTGTGTGTGTGTGTGTGTGTGTGTGGATTGAACCTAGGTCTTTGCACATACTAGGCAAGTGCTCTCATATACCTAGGAAAACAATGTATACAAGCAAAGGATATAAAATAAAACTCCCAAATTTTGTTCAACAGAATAAAGGAGCTCAGAACCATACTTACTGAAAGATATCTCAGCTTTAGAAAATAAAATTAGGATTAGGATTGAGAAGGATCAATCAATTAAACATAAAAGAAGGAAGTATTTGCTTGTGGATTAATAACAATAATAGTGTGTTTTGGTTAAGCCACTAAATGATTTTATTACCACATGTGACAGTAATTTGACCTCAACTTTGAGATAAATCTGATGGTATTTTCTTTTTGGTGTCCTTTTTTTCCATGTTAATTGGAAAAAATAGGTTCTTAGTCTATTGGTGATTCTGAGCATGGGCTTTTGAATTAGACTGCCTATGTTTTAACTAAGTCCTGACCCTGATACTTACTAGCTATGTGACTTTAGCCAAAATGCTCACTCTCTCTTCACCTAAGCTTCCTTAGCTGTAAGATACAATAGTAATAGTATAATAATAGCATAATATTGGGCAACAATGACATTTAATAATAGTTCATCTAACAGAGTTTCAAGGATCCAGTTAGTTCATATCCCTAAACCACTGAGAACTTTATCTCCTACATGGTACTAAATAACAACTCTAGGAGTCAGACTTTTGGAACTGTGGCAGAGGGACCACTACTCAAAAATTGAAAATAATCAAGAAAGCAGTTATGTTTACTAAACATTTTCCTTTTTAGAAATAGGAGTGACCATCCTGTATAATTATATTTTTTAATCAAACTTCCCTTGTCTTACAGAAAACTGAAAATTATTACCTTTAAAGCTTACAATCTCACAACATCTTTTAAGAGTTGTCTTTTAGCATATTATATTTTTTACTTTGCTTGGATCCTGACTTTTGCTGTCCTGGTTTATACTGGCCCTGTTGCTTTCGACAGCATCTGGTTGCCAGGATGACCATACAACAGCAAAGAAAGAGGACAGAGGTGCATAAGGCCACAGAAGCCAGCCAGGTCTTTGAAGTCACAGGTGCCCCATTAAGTGTCTCTTCTTCATTTTCAGATGTCTGGTTTCTGCTGTTGTACCCCTTGGTTTTATTTAGTAATTGCTTGCTACTGTTGAGTCGGGATGGAATAGGCATAAGAGAAAGCTTTGTGTCGATGGGCACAAAGAAAGGAGAAACAGTCTGATTGTCTGGATCACTGATTAAGTCAGTGCTTGGTGACACCATATTTACCTTGGTGGTAATGGAGTCATTCAGGGAAATGAACCTTGCCCAAAGATCTGTTGTTAATTCCTTGGAATAACCGGTACTGTTTGTGTTTACAACCAAATCTTGATGTGGGGCTGATGATGGAGCCTCTGTTGATGGCAACATACGGTTTATCGTGGTAGTTTGTTGTTTATTATCTAAATTCATAGCTTTTAGAATCCTTAGTCTATCCCACCTATCAGATGAAGAACGGGTGTTTAGATATGTGGGAGGTGATTGCTCAAAAACCAGCAAATCTGGATCCATACCTGAAAGATAAATAAAATACATTAATTCAAAGAGAAAACCTTAAGCACAAATTGGAGAAAACTGTTGGGTTTTGCCACGATGAATTAGTGAACTAAGCTAAGTTCAACCATTGCAAACTCCTAAAAAGCTTAGCAATATACTAGCTTCATTTGAATTTATCTTAACTTCCAGGACATTTTCTGCTATGGACAAATTCAGCTACACCCAAGAAGGTTTTGCACAATAATAGTGTTAGTAGAAAGCTGCAGAAACAGTAACCCTGTGAGCTATGATAGAACATTTTTAAAATAAATTGATAAAATAGGATCATAATTCAAAATCAAGAGTAAAGCCTCAAATCTCATCCCTTTCCAATCCTTGAGGGTCCTGCTTTTAGTATTTCCTCTTTTGTATACTAACTCCTTTTCCTCTGACTTCCGGCATGCTCAAATCCTCTGCTTCTTTAGAGAGGAAGAAAAAAGCTCAATAGCTTTCTGATGGTCTCTGTTAAGAGACTACATGGTGGGTCTGTCTGTCTGTTTCTCTCTCTGAAATCATGCCAACATCCATCTCCTTCTTTGTTTTGCTTCTGTAGTCTTCTTAACATTCCTCACTATTCTGTCAAAATAATGTTTCTCTTGTTTTTTTGGTCCTAGAGATAGAACCCAGGGGCACATTACCACTGAGCTCTATCTTCAGCCCTTTTTATATTTTTGTTTTGAGAACAACTTAATGAGAACCTTCTCACTAAGTTGGCCAGGCTGGCCTTGAGCTTGCAGTCCTCCTGTCTCACCCTCCTGAGTAGCTGGGATTATACGTGTGCACTACCGTGCCTGGCTTTCATTTATAATTTCTTGGTTACTTGCATCTCATTGCTTTGGCTGCTCTCTGGTCCTCAGTAATGCTGAGGATCCTCTTGAAATTCTTCTCGCTAGACTCCAGACCCCTTCACATTTGCCCCAGGCTCCCTGCTTCTCAATTTTACTGTTTTGCTCTCTTCTTGTTCCTAACTGGCTGTATAGTTTCTACATTCTCAGTCCTTGGCCTTAAGTTCTGCTACCCCTTGACTGCTTTTTTATCACCCTCCCTCCCCCCATCTGCCACCACAACATTGATGACACTGGAATCTATATCACCAATTTTTTCCTCTTTCTTGAGTTCTGGCCTTGTCTCTCCAATGTCTTCCACCTGCACACCTTGTGTCGACTTAACTGAATAAGCCCAAAGCTGACATCATTACATCTGCCTCCTTGTCTCAGTCAGTGGAATTATTATTCTTCCATTCCCCAAACTGGAGTCTGCACTGGAGTGATTTCTGACTCCTTCATTTCCTTCATTCAGAAGGTAACTAAGGCTAGACACAGTGTCACATGCCTATGATAGCAAGTTTGAGGCTGGCCTGGGCAACTTAGTGAGACCATATCTCACAATAAAAAAATAAAAATTGCTGGAGATATAGCTTAGTGGTAGAGTGAAAGTGTCCCTGGATTTAATCCCAGGTACAAGAAAGAGAAAGGAAGGGAGAAAATGTGAAGAAAAAGAAAGAAAGAAAGGCAAAAAGATAAGTCCAGTTCACTCTGTTTCCAAAGAAATTCCAATATTCTGGTAATCATCCCTCCTTTCTATGGCAACTATAATTACCTTGCCCAGATCTTATGCCTCTCTGACCAAATTTTCTTTCTCTTCTTTTTTTCTTTTTTCCCCCCTCCAGTACTGGGGAGGTATATATCACCAGTCCCTTTTATTTTTTATTTTGAGACAGGATCTTGCTAAGTTGCTAAGGCTAGCTTCACACTTGGGACTAGACTTTCTGCCTTGTGCCCTGCATGTAATTTTCCTAGACTAAGGTCATCAGACTTACCATTTTAATTATGTTAATTATGTTGTTTCCTCATTAAATGTCTTTATCAATTCCCTATTTCTGAAAAATCCCTTCCAAAACACTACTCTGTCCATAGCCCTTTGGCTAACTGACCCCACCCTCTCTAGATAGCCATATTTTCACTACAACTTCAAATGTCACCATACAGTAACTACTCCAGTTTTCTTACTTTCCTATGATGTGATACAGAACTCATTTTGCTTCCTCCTGGCCTTTTCCAAGGACTCCCCACCACGACCTGCTGAATAAAATAGCTCTCATTAGTCTGCCCTTCTTGGAGCCTTTGTAATGAGGCAGTATCAAATATTTTTGTACTTAGTTATATCTTTTACACTAATTGGAAGACTTGTCACATCAACAAGATTATAAGGAACTTGAAGGCAAAGATATGGCCACAGTTTTCTACAATGTTGAACCCAGCCAGCCTGGAGCATTATGTTTTCAATGAATACAAATACCCCCTTTGTATTTTGATGACAAAACATTTTCTTCAGAATCCTTGTATTCAGTGTCTACAAACCTCAAAGCTGCCATTTATTATTTTCTTTATTTCTTAGCATCACCCTTTGCCACTATAGTAGAAATGCCTAATTTGGCTCTTGTTGCAAGTTCTTGAAATACAATGCTTTAGCTTTTGTTCAATTGCATATGACTTGTGATTGTCTGGAATGAATTCATCCCTGTTGAATGTGCCAAACTAAAGGGAATTTCCTTCCAGTTTTCTGCCCTGAATATCCAAACCATTTCCAGGCAGAGTTCACTGGAAAATAATGATTTAGGGACGTAACACAGAGCTATTGCCAGGATATATGCTTCTACTAGAGTATTACCAACATTCTTCAAAAGTTCTGAAATATATCATCATTACCATCTGTTATGTTGTACAAAATGGCACTGGTCCCGGGCTCTAATATGCAGCTCTCCAAGGTTGGGCAGTGAATATGTAGGCAGTTGACATTGTCATGAATAGGATCATAGAAGAAGACAGCCAAATTACAGGAAACTGAAAAGGAAAGAGACAAAGTACATCTGTAGAAGGTCTTGATTTCCATCAGTTTGATGATCTCTGAATAACTTACATTTCTTTCAGAAATACTAGATTAACACTATATTGCAGAACTATATTCAGACTTTTTTTCTTTAATGTACTAGAGATTGAACTCAGGGGAACTTAACATTGAGCCACACCCCTAGCCCTTTTTATTTCTTTTTATTTTTTATTTTAGAAGTCTTGCTGAGTTGCTTAGGGCCTCACTAAGTTGCTGAGGCTGACTTTTTTCTTTTTTGGGTTCTGGTCTGAGAGAACTTTATTTACAAAAACAGGTGGTAGAATATTTTTACAAATGTTTTAATTTGTTCTAATTCATTATACATGATAGTAGAGCTGAGGCTTGGCTTTGAACTTGTGATCCTCCTGCTTTAGCCTCCGGAATCCCTAGGTTTACAGGTGTGTGCCACCATACCTAGTTTATGTTCACACATTTCACAGAACATTATGAATTACTGTAATGGCATTTATGAATATTAAAAAAATGCCTTTTGAAAGGAAAACATCCCTTAATTTTCTCTAAGTAATCTTTCACACATTCCATTCCAGTTGGATGTCTAGAATCATTATTTTCTAGTCTCAGTATTTTGTATTCATGAAAAATTTAATTGGCTACAAAAATCTCTGGGGACTTATATTGGTTTCTGGGTGCAATGACCTCATAGAATGCTAAGATGCTGAGGCCCACCAGAGAGAGAAATAGGAAAATAAAGGAAAAAATTCTGTAACCTAAGAAGAGGGAGTAACAGGAAGGGCAAAAGAATAATGATATTACTGGGAGAGGCCAAATGATGGAAAAGCAGCAGGCCAAGTGACCCTGACTACAGGTGTGCACTAGCCCTGTGTGCAAAAAAATTACATCCAAGGAAAAGCCTAATCAGTGTCAATTAGAGTGGCAGGCCGTGGATATGCAGCAGCATTGGCACACAGATTGTAGTGATGAAGCACATCACTTGCTCATGCTGTTTCCCCTTTTCTAATCAAATTTGTTCCTCAAAAATGTGCTATTTTCTGGAAACCTGAAGTCAGATTTGTTGGATGCAAATCTTCAGTCAGATTATCTATCTTCCCTAAAATGCAACAGATTTTGCTTTTGTTCCAGTGTAGTCATAACCATGTGAAAAAATTCATTGGCCAAGAGGTATCAAATTATTTAATAAAATTAGACTAGAGAGGGGCAGTTTATGGTTACCAGACCCCAGAGCACGTCTTAGCTGTGGAATCGCTGCTGGTAGAAGCTGTATCACTTCTGTGTAAGGTTAACTATAAGGAGCGGCATCTCCACCATTACTTCTGGGACACCCTCAGCTTTCTGCATCCTTTATTTTTCCAGAAGAAGAAAGAATAGGACAAAAGTTAATGAATAATACATTGCTAATACATTACAGATTATAAGTATAATCTCTAAGGACTGTGAGGTAAAGTTTTAAGGGAAAGGTATTAAAAAATTCAAATTTAAGACATTTAAATTTCTAACAAGAAAGTAGTTTATGCTGTAGAGAACAGTTTTTAAAGATTTTTTTTAATACTCCAGGTGTACATTTCAGAGTCCCATTTCTGAGCATGATTGTGGCAGTTGAAATTTCTGGCTTCTAGCTAAAATCTGGGATATGCCTTCCTGCCCTTTCCTGTTCTGAAGGAAGAAAGCCACAATGTGGAAGCTACAGAGGCTCTAGGATTGTGGAATTGTCCTAGATCTACAATAGTCCTGATAATACAGGGGCCACAGGCCTTGGGCATTCATGCCTTGGGAAATTTCAGAAAATGTACAGCCCCTCCCGTCCCCCACTTCCCCTCAGTGGTGGCTTATGAGAGTTAGAAGCATCTGGAAGGTAGAAATTTGGATCAACTGTCATTTTTAAAAGAACTCCCCTTTTTTAAATTAATTGCTTTCTTTGTGCCTTATTAACATTTTTCCTTTTTCTTTTGTGCTTCAGGGGATTGACCCAGGGGTATTCTACCATGGAGCAACATCTTTGTTTGAATTTTTAGTTTTGAGACAGGATCTCATTAAATTGCCCAAGCTGGACTTGAACTTTTGATCCAGCTGTCTCAGCTTCCCAGGTTATTGGGCTTATAGGCATGTGCTGCCAAGCTGGCTGTGCCTGATCAGCTTTTGAGGACTTGGCCTGTGACATTTGCTCACATTGCTGTTCCTTGATGATCTGATAATACTCTCCAATTAGCTCCAAGTTTCATTTCAGACATCTTACAGGCATAATTGGGTCAGTGGGATTGGTGAGGGTACCGAATCATGGTTAAAAAAAAAAAAAAAAGTGTGAAATGAAAGGTACGCAGCTCAGTGTAGTGTGTGTCTAGTTTGCAAGAAGCCCTACATCCCCAGTACTGAAAAAGAAAAAGAAAAAAAAAAAAAGTGAAACAATGAAGGGAATTATTTTAGTACTGTGTTGCTTTTGTTGTTTCTTTCCAAGTAGGTTTTAAATCATGGAGGAAATGAAAAATAAATGAAAGAAATCTTTAGGCAATTGCAACTTAAAATTCTGCAACAATGAAATGCTTTCCTGATTGAAAGCCTGAATCATATCATAGCCATGATGTTTACACCCAGATTCCATATCACAGAGAAAAAATCCATTAGAAAATTTGGAAAGTATGATTGTTATTATTTGATATTTAACAAAATATTTCAAAACATGATCTAAATTCTGTATTCAATATATCCCACATTTGTCAATCCAAGCAAGCCCATTTCAGAAATCTGCTATGGTACTACTATCACCAAAAGGCATTTTGAAAAGGAAATTAATGTGAACATTTTTGAAATCATATATGTTACATTTTGGGCTATAAAAATACTAATCCTGGTGGAAATATTTTCACTTAGCACTTTTTTGAAGAAAAGAGGATTTTGTTTCTTTTATATTCTATAGCATTCTGGGACCTTACTAGATTTGTAAATTGAGCCTGCTCTGGCTCATCCTGCAAAGCCAGTCTGGTAGCTCTCTTTCTTTCTGCTAGCTTGCTCTCAGGTTCTCTGTCTCCCCCATCTCTCATCCCGCAGAATCTTCTCTGGTCCTTTTTACCTCTTCACTGGCCTTTTGCCTAAGACTCCTGACTTAGGTCTTCATTCTTGGGCATTCCCTCCTATTTTGCTCAAGTGTTTTATTAATACTCACCATCTTTCCTAAGACAGCAGCTCCTACTGCACTTCTGGCCAGTGCTCTCAGAATAATATTTCAAGAACTGGGCTCCCAGCTTCTGAGACTCTTCCAAAACAATTTGAAGACCTGGGAAGCGGCGGATCCAGCAGTTTCTGTAAAAAACAGTGGGTGAGCAGAGAGAGTCTGATGTCCATCCCATGCTTAGGAGCAGTATCACCTCGGCTGCTACCACTGCCACATGCATTTCTTTGCTGTGAAGAGAGACTCGGAGAAAGTCTGATTTCCGGACAGAGTTTAAAACTGACCATTAGGGTTTAAGCTCTAAATCTTCTGGGCTCTGAGTAAGGGTAAGCATCCTTGGGACCTTTCTGGAGAGTCATTTTGTAGAAAAAGGAGGCTGTCCTTTGCACATTGGTGTTTTCTTTTGTTTCTTCCCACCTGAGCCCCAGGTGAACTTGGGATTTATGGGAGTTCTTTCCAAACTCTTTTCAGGCTATTCCAATCTTCTGTCCCTTTGCCACTTGAAGACGTAGGTTCTCTCCTCTGCTTTTCTTCATTCTCTGAAAGCAAAGAGCCACAGACACCTTTTACTAAATAAATATAAAGACAAGTGGAAATCCTAGTCAAGTCTTTCTGAGGAAAACAATAATTCAGTAGCTCAAAATCAGATAAAGGAAAGATCTGTTTCACCGGAAATAAGACATTATTTTGTGAGGTCTTCTTTATGGCTTTTAAGGAACTTGTGACCTTGGATTTTTTTTAATCAGCTATTTATTTCTTTGAATTTAAATCTGGTGTCCACTAGAAAAACAGTTTGTACATTGTCTAAGTTGTTTTGTTTGTTTTTTACCTAAAAATCCTTGAAAGTAAATAAAATATTAAAATAAAATTTTTATTTTGGAATAATTGTAAGACCATTGAACATAGATCCTGGACCCTCTTTGAGCTCAGTAATTTTTTTGTAAAGTGCAGTCATAAGGGGTTGGGGTTGTGGCTCAGAGTAGAGCGCTCGCCTCACATGTGCAAGACCCTGGGTTCGATCCTCAGCACCACAAAAAAATAAATAAGTGAAATAAAGGTTAAAAAAAAATGCTCTCCATTAAAAAAAAAAAAAGGACAATAAGATTTCTTCTAAAGATTCAGCCATTAGAAAGTGTTCATAATGTACATGGAATACAACACCCTTTGAAGTGTATAGTATCCAACCAAGAATAATTGTAATTTATGGTAAAAATTGTGAAGAGGTTTAAGAAGAGAATCACTGTTCTCTTTTTTGTTTTCTGATGTTCACATTTGCAAATTATTAAATGGATGACAGCTTTATGAAGTACATACAGAAAGGCATAGCATCTCTGAAACAAAGTAGTTGCTGTAGAATACACATTTCAATGGTTTTAAATATCTGAATAGTAACAGAAATACTTCAACTGCAGTGTCCAAACATTTGAGACTGCAGTGAACAGTGGCTTCCTGGTTATATGATAGTTGTGGGTTCTTTATCTCAATCGTGATAACTAATCATGTCCAAGCTAACAAATTAGTTTAAATCAAGAAATTGCTGCTTTCTTCTTTCCATTTTTATATAAAGCAGTGCTTCTGGCATGAAGTAATGCTACTTTAAAAAGGAAAAGGTGAAACTAATCTTCCTGATCTTTGATCTGTGTTTCTGTCAGACCTTTTTGCGCAATAACTTATTTACCTCATTAACCTACTTGACCCCAAAATGTTAACATTATTCAGATTTTCATCTCTCCATGTGTTTTCTAATTATAGATAGCCTACTTATAACTTTAACTTTTTAGAAACATATATTAATGGGGGAAATGAAGAAGAAAACATTTAAGACTGAATAACTTTAAAAACCATTTGACTTGATTTGGAGGAAAAATGATATCACATATTAACTCCTAACTTTGCATAAGCCACATGAAATACACTAAAAATAACTATCTTATTCTAATAACTTCTTACAGAAAGAAAGTTTCAGTTGCTTACCTGCTAACAGATTGTTCCACCTGTTCTTAGGGGAGAGGGAAAATAGATTTTCTAATGGCAAAGCAAGGGACAAATGAGTAACAAAAAAATCACTCTCTGTTTTTCATGAAATTCCATAGTTATTTCTATTAAGAACTGCCTCAGGACATAACTGGAAACTCTACTTTCTAACTTTGTGACCTCCAAATCTTTTAGTTACATTAAATGCAGTCTTTTGTGTTTGATATATAATTCCTTAAAGTTCTCTTGTTCCCTGCAGGGCTAATGGAACAATCCACAATTGTTAAAGCTGGCAAATGACATTTGAACAAAGATCAAAGTTTCATATTAAAGGATTTACAAGTTCCAATGCCAAAACAAGATTTTTATTTTTAAAAACACATTGTGTGTGTGTGTGTGTGTGTGTGTGTGTGTGTGTGTGTTTGCATAAATATTAAGTCTGGGAGTGAGTAACTTCTTCAGGCTAAGTATTCTGAAAAGGAAAGATAGAAACTGGACTGCAGAGACTAGGATGGGGGGACAGTCCACAATACTCTCAAAACTTGTTTATGTGGGACAAAATTGCAGAAACTAGGGAGCAACTGCAACTTTGAATCAAATTGGTATATAGCTTTTATTACAAATCTTATCAATTGTCCAGAACAATTACACTATTACAATGCGGTGATACATTATAATTATTTCCAATAGGATGCTCTTGAGAGGGGCTGGGAAATTAGATTCATATCTCAAAAAGCACTTAATTTCTGCCAACAGAATGATTCAGTTGCTCTGGTATGGGGACCAGGATTTTTGTTTTTAGAAGTGCCCCAGTTGATTTCCTATGATGTTTAGAAAACACTGATCTAGATGACTGAAATAAATGGAAGTTTATAGGAGGATGCTCACTTTGAATTAAGTAGAGTCATTTTAAGAACATGTACTTCCTTCATCTTATCTAAATCACCCCATGTTTCCATGAAAGAAGGACATTTCCATTTTGCCTGTTTAAAAAAAAGAAAGAAAGAAAATTATTCTAGGAACACTGGAGGGACAAAAAAAAAAAAAAAAAAAAACCACTAAAAACAAAAACACCAACAAAAAACAGAGATGAGGGGGGTACAGTGACACAGGTCTGTAATCCTAGCAGCTCAGAGGCTGAGGTAGGAGGATTACATGTTTGAAGCCAGCCTCAGAAACTTAGCCAGACCCTGCCTCAAAATAAAAATAAAAAGGACTGGAGATGTGGCTCAGTGGTTAAAGCACCCTTGAATTCAATCCCTGATTGATTTTTTAGTAGTGAAGTAAAAAGCATGTATTTGCTATATTCAAAAGACATTTGAAAAACAGTAAATATTTCACCCTTAAAGTTTTGAATTATGTTATTTATTTAACATTTTTATTTCATTAAATTGTATTTAAGGGGTTGGGGATATAGTTCAGTTGTTTGAGTGCTGGCCTAGCATGTACAAGGCCCTGGGTTCAATCCCCAGCACCACCAAAAAAAAAAAGTATTTAAAGATGAATCCTGAGAAATAAAAATATGTCATTAATTTTTCTTTAATTGTTTTGGCTTTTACTAAATTGATGCATAGTCACTTTAAGAATTCAAGCCATATAGAAACATGTGAAAAGAAATAAAAACCTTTAAATATCTTGTTATCTTAACATCTTGATAAACATCTTTCTGGACATATCTATTAAAATCATATATGTATATAAATACATAATATACATATATGTGTAGTTTTACATAAAATAATTTTATATAAATTAAATTGCAGATTTTTTTTAATGGTACTGGGAATTGAGCCCAGAGACTCACATACTAGGCTAGTGTTCTACCACTGAGCCACATTCTTATCACCTTTATTTTTTAAATTTGAGATAGTTTCTCACTAAGTTGCCTAGCTAGCCTCAAACTTGACAACCTACTACCTTAGCCTCCTGAGTCACTGGGATTAAAGGTGTGTGCCACCATGCCTGGCCTACAGAACATATAATGTAGTAGGCTCGGGCTGGGGCTTAGTGGTAGCACACTTGCCTGGCATGTGTGAGGCACTGGGTTTGATTCTTAGCACCACATACAAATAAATAAAATAAAGGTCTATCAACTACTAATTTAAAAAAAAAATCTATTGTAAAATTATGTTTTTTAGTGCCTTTAAAGAATGATCTACATTGAAGTTATAATGGTTATATGACATTTCTTTTCGTTCTTTCCTTTTGTTTTTTCTTGTGCTGGAGATTGAACCCAAGGATGTTCTAATTCTGTGCTATATCCCCAGATTTTTATTTTCAGACAGGGTCTCACTAAGTTGCCCAAGCTGACCTCAAACTTGGAGTCCTCCTGCCTTGGCCTCACAAGCAACTGGGATTACAATCATGTGCTACCACTTTACCTTTTTTGTTATTTTTGTTTTTTATTTTATTTTATTTTTGTAGTGCTGGGAATCAAACCCAGAATCTTCAACATGCTAGGCAAGCACTCTACCACTGAGCCATATCCCAGCCCCTCATTCTTTATCCACACCAAAAGTTACTCTGCACCACAGCTTTCTCAGCTATAAAATATCCTCCAAATGGTATTGTAATCCACAAAGATCACTTAACAACAGTGCCTGGCACATAATAAACACTCAGTAAATCTTAGCTACTATTATTATTATACATTGTGTTGGTTTCCAATTTTCTATTACTAAAAGCAATACTATGACTAAATTAAAAGGCATATTCTCCTCAAATTCTTAAATAAACTGCCTGTGTTTGATCATTACTTTGGTCTTTTATAAAACACAGTGATGAAAAGTATTTGAAATGAATTATAGTTTCAACAAAGGCCAGTCTTTATTGTTCAATGATCAGTCAATAACTGACCTATATAATTATACCTCTAGTTATATAAAAATATTTTATAAAGTTTAGAAATGATATTTTAGGTCTTTTTAAAATAAAGGTTTCACAATTCTAGATTAGCAGAAAACGTATTATGTGGTTTGTTGAAATGATTGATCTTTTAAGATGCTTCCAGTCCTAAATGATGTTATTGTCATGTTGGGACCAAAAGGCTTGCAGGATCAGTGTCCAGTGTTGTCAGACTAACACCCCAGATTCCCTGTCCAACCTGATCTAGCCCTGATAATATTACTGTGCTTGAATGAGCATCATTCATTGAGTGTGATTTTTCAGTCTGCTTAAAAAGGCAAGAAAATACCAGTCTGAGGCATATCTATGACAGCTGGGAAACAAAAGCATCTATTCGTGAAAGAT